TAAAGACAGAATCAGCTTAGTCATGGAGAGCCAGCAAGAACTAGGCACATTTACAAAGGAGTCTGGTTTTCAGACTATAGACATCAAGGTTTCAGGTTTTTCATGACTTTATCACTATTGTGTTTATGGCTCTGTTAGCATCTGTACTCAGCTTTATCTCTTAGCTGCCAAAGACCAGTGATCAACACAGAGCAGTTGGAGTAAGCCCAGAATGCACTTGGCCATGATACCACACATGGGCAGCCTCTTCCGTGGTAAGTTCTTCCACGCAGGCTTCCATAAGTCGGTGGACAGACTAAAGGGACGCCGTCAAGACCATGAGTTCTTTCATGGTGACCATGTCCATTGTACCTTCAACAAAATTCATCTGTTCCTTTCTAGGCATCCTGCCTTCAGGTGACTGCACCACACTTCCCTCGTGCTTCCCGTGGGTAAACCATCTTACCTGGTGCACATAAGGCCCAGAACACAGACAGCGAAGGCGGACCAACCTCTGCCACACATCCTCTGGCTGCACATCAAGACTGAACCAGACACAAGGTTGATTCTCTGCCCCACCCCCCATAATAAACACCACTATACAGTAACCATCACTGTAAAGAGTGTAAAGTACCTCTGAAACAAATAATCCATTATATGTTAAAAAAAAAAAAAAGAAGATAGCAGGAGGGAAAGAATGAAGGGGGGAAATTGGAGGGGAAGATGAACCATGAGAGACGATGGACTCTGAAAAACAAACTGAGGGTTCTAGAGGGGAGGGGGGCCTGGTGATCGGTATTAAGGAGGGCATGTTCTGCATGGAGCACTGGGTGTTATATGCAAACAATGAATCATGGAACACTACATCTAAAACTAACGATGTAATGTATGGTGATTAATATAACATAAAAATAAAAAAATTTTAAAAAGAGTGTAAAGATATATATATATTTTTTAAAGATTTTATTTATTTATTTGAGAGAGAGAGAATGAGAGAGAGAGAACACATGAGAGGGGATAGGGTCAGAGGACGAAGCAGACTCCCTGCCGAGCAGGGAGCCCGATGCGGGACTCGATCCAGGGACTCCAGGATCATGACCTGAGCTGAAGGCAGTCGCTTAACCAACTGAGCCACCCAGGCGCCCCTGTAAAGATATTTTTAAAGGAAAATTGCTAGATGTAAATTTCCCAAGTTTGGAAGACATGATTTTAGGAAAAACAGAGTTGTAATTTTCCCTAGAAAATAAAAGAACGAATACTCCACATCCTTTGTAAAATAACTATTAGCTTTTAGAGAAGACCCCAGCCTTTACTCACTTACACATGCAAATATCACAGTGTCTACTAATTAAAAAAAAACAACAAACAGACTGCAAAACAAAACATCATCCAAGTCTGCAGAGCCATTATACTTTCCCGTGTGTGCCTTGGGTCTGGCTCAGATGGGGCCACGGCTTCTGTTGTAATGGGAAAGTCACCTAGAATTACTGTCCCATTTATGTCCTACTCTCTTTTGTGGCTGAGTCACAGGCACTGTTTGGTGCTTATGCGTAGGGTCTGACTGACATCAGAAATGAGCTGCCAAGGCAAGAGTTTGTTTTAACAAAGATGGGATTGAGAAGACGTTAGTCCCTTGCTTCACTTCCTAGTGTCAAAGAAATTTGCTCTATTTTGATATTTGCCTTTGTTCCCTTCATTGGGGAATTAGGCTCTATGATAAACAGACATTACAACTTCTTTCGGAAGTGAGTGGCGGTGGCCTTGATGAATGCCCCTGGCTCGCTCTAAGCCGCCAGTCTGTAACTGCTGCCACCAGGCACAACGTAAACCCACCTGCCTTCAGCCCTCCTTTTGGACAATGTGCCGTCTTCGGAATCCTCCTGCTAACCCTTGAGCTGATTTTCACGACTCCCTCGCCATGTCCCAAGGCTAGCTCTCTCGGCACTAAACCCTCCATCGTGTAAAACCTAGTTGCTTGGGCAACACTTTGCTCCTCCAGCGTGAGCTATGCCACACATGCCCTTCCTTCTTCAGGTGGCTTGGAGAGGTAATCACTTCATTTACTTGGAGCCAAATCCAAGGTAGCTAGCTTCCTTTCTACAGGAAAAGGGAAGATGGAATGTAATTTTAAATCTTTGTGGATTAAAATGATCCAGGCCACCAGAGACAGTTAAAACGGCATTCTCAAATTGTGAGTCACAAATTTGTCTAGCTTCCGTTTTACCTGGAATGAAATTATGCTGCCCTCTCTCCACCGTTTGGAACAAGGTGTTCTGCAGGCAAGAAAGGAATTTTTCCTTGTTCGGGTCTCGGGGAAGATACATTTGCCAGCTGCTGAGTGACTGTTCAGAAGCCATGTCTTCAGCTCGCTTACAAAAGCATGACGTCTGCCCTGCACGTCAGACCAAACACGCCTCTGAATGAAACATTCATGAACAAGCTACTGTTTCCGGTGACAACAGGCAAACTTGTAGTGGACGTGGGGGTAACTTAAATCCTCAGTAAAATTCGGTCTCATTTGCTATAATAGGATGGGCAAAAAATCGCCTCTTCTCACGTCTATAAACCCTGAATCAGAAGCTATCTCACTGGAGTGTGAATTAGGAGCTGGGGGACAAGCAGAAAGCACAAAATCATTTCACACTGATTCACTGATGTCATCTCATGCTCATTTGCTCTGGTGCCAGGAGGTCATATTTGAATTATTTAAACCAAATAGAACAACATAAACTCTGAATTGGCCGTGAACTTGCAACAGTAGCATCTGTGTTTAAGTAACTGCTCTAGCTCAGTTCATCAGTTTGATGATGTATAAACCTAAAATGTAGGTTGCACTGGGCAGGCATCTTCCAAGTACAAAAGGAGGTGATCAGAGAGATAATTATAGGTTCCTATACTTTCAAACCCACACTCCAGGGGCTCTGCTCCATAATTTTATAATTTTGTAATGGATGGAACCATCACCAAAATTGTTTTAAAGCAAGGGGATTGAGAATCCCTGTTGAACTCATGTCAGACACAGCAGCATCTCATGATGTTTTAGGGCGTTCAGATTGCTTTCTGGTTCAGTGGGCGTCTTAGCAACTTGCGGGTACTGCCAGTTTAATGGTGGCTTGAACTTGAACCACAGTGTAATGGTGGCTTGAACGTGCGTAGTTAAAAACCCCAGGATTGCTCCTGAAAGTATAGAACTCCCATAGGGCCCCAAAATGTGACAGTCAGTCCACCTGCAGCCGTTCATCTACCTTTGGTTAGTCCTTAAAACGGGGACCTGAGGGAGGGGACAAGGAGAGCGGGGCGGCGGCGCGGGCTCGCACGTTCATCTGTCGAGAAAGGAGAGGCAGGTCTTCACTATGATGTTCAAGAAAACTCATCTCAGCTCCATCTTTTATTCAGTTTTGTCTTTTCATGTTTCATGTGAAACTGTTTCCATCCGCATTCTTTTATTTAAAGATTTATTTTGCACGGAGCCCTGGGTGTTATACACAAACAATGAATCATGGAACACTACATCAAAAACTAATGATGTAATGTATGGTGACTAACATAACATAATAAAAAATATTTATTTATGTATTTATTTGTGTTGGGGTGAAACGGGAGAGGGAGAGAGAGAGAGAATCTCAAACACACTCCACCCCGAGAGCAGAGTTCAACACAGGGCTTGAACCTAGGACCCTGAGATCATGACCTGAGCCCAAATCAAGAGTCGAAAGCTTAACAGACTGAGTCACCCAGGCGCCCCATCTACATTCTTACTCAAATTGAAATGTTATTATATTTCACACACTTCCTATTTATTTGCATATGTACATTCTTGTACTCTTTGTCACTGTATCTATAAATACTCTCGAATAGTGCCATAGACTAGGGTCTCCCTCTCTCAGAAGCACAGCTTCTCAATGGTACTTCACTGCCTCCTTGGATTTGCATTATAAATGAGTTATTGCAGGTTCAGCTAGGCTGAACTTCACTTTCCTGTAGCTTGGGAGATTTTGATGCTATTATTCCTCAAACACTTTTTAAAATGAGCACATTTATTATATTGGGTATTTTGGTAAAATAAAGCTGTTTCTTGAATTCAAGAGGTTTGCTCAGATCCAAGGACACTTTTCTGAGCCTGAATCCCCTGATCTCTCTATAGTATTTAACACTCTTTTGGTCACCCATCCCTCCCTAAGCTTTCTCTTGTCTTGCCTATAGTTACCTCCGAGTCTAAACCCAACCTTCCTGACCCCCAGCTCAGACATCCTTCTCCAGAGCACTTAGTCCTGAGGCATCCACATGGAAGTCTCAGCCATGCATGCAGTCATCCCAGAAGAGTAACCAAGAAGACAATCATTTGTCTGATGCTGCCTGACCTATCTGAACCAGCTCTATCTCTGTTGGATGAAGATGAGCATTCCCGAATGTCTCCCTGAGGCTCCATAGGGTTCTTCGGGATCGACATGGAGCAACCTGGAAGCGAGTCTCTTCTGATGTCAGCTCTGATGTGTAAAAGACCTTGGAAGTCATCGCTCCTGTCCTTGCAAGAAAACAAACTGCAAATCTTAGTTCCATCAAAGAACGGAGGTCGCAGAGTGAATTGCCCTCTAGAAATCTGAAGAGACAGATGGATAGAGAATGACAGCCAAGATCAGCTCACCTGGGGGAAAAAATGAAGAATTTCAAGATGGTGAGAGCAGAGCCTTGAGCCAAGAGCAGGACCCCTCTGAGTGACGGGCACATGACGGAAGCAGGCTCTGCCTACTGCTCAGCGAGCCCTTCAGTGCTATTTGTGTTACTAGAAATAGTAACAGCAACAGCAGTAATAGTACTCCTACCGCTAGGTGTAGTATTAGTACTACGAGGAATACCACTACCAGTAGGGTTAGGTTCCGTCTTAGAGGTCACTACTACGACCAGTAAAATCTAATCACATCTCAAAGAGAAATCTGAAAATATGCTTACAATCTGATTTCCCCCTTGGCCCCTATGGGCACTCCCCATGCCCCTACATTGGTAAGTAATCGATTTTTTTTTAAATATGGAAATGCTTCACGAGTTTGCATGTCGCCCTTGCAAGGGGCCATGCTAATCTTCTCTGTATCATTCCAGTTGTAGTGCACATGCTGCCAAAGGTGCAGGATTGTTGAGGGAACTGGGTAAATACCTCTGAACATTTTGTTCTCTCCGGCCCCAGCACTCTCATGGTATCTAACCCAGACACTTGCAAATTGACTTATAATCTGCTGTTCTCCTCCAGGCCAACCTGTTCTTTTCATCCTTCATGAAGTCTTCCCAGATGGATCATTACAAAATGCAACCTCATGGTCTCATGCTTGATGAGAGCTGTCCGAGGCATAAAGCAGAACCTCCTCCTCCCACACTGAGACTCCAGTCCTCTCTCTGCCTGCCTTTGGACCCATCCTCAGCTCTCCCTAATCCTCCTTTCAAAATACCTGTTCCCAAATAATTACAAAATTGTTTGTAGTTCCTGATAATTATCTCACAAAAATCTGTACGTACACAAATCTTCCTCCCCACTGAATTGTTTTGTGCATTGCCCCTTGTCCTTTATGACCTCATTCTTGTGTTTTTCCTTAAGAACTCTAACCCACTTTTCTCTGGGCAGAGTAAGGCATTTTCTTGTTTTTGCTGGACATCTCATGTTCCTATCTCCCTAGACCTGTAGCTTCATTGCAGTCATGACGTGTTTTCAGATTGTCTCCCTTCCCCACCCATGTGCCCTCCAGATGGTGTGCCCACCCACGTGTACCTCAATGACTAGAGCATATTCTAATTGCGTTCTATGCAAAGTGCATAGTGGGTGCTTCCTATGACCGCTTGAGGTCTGTAGGGAGAATGCATGAAGGAGTCAGTGACTAGGAGAATCAAAAGGATATATAATCACTTTCAAATTGAGAAAGGAAAAAAGTAGGAGTTCTCAAAAGTCATTAAAGAAGAAAAACATTCTTTCATAAAGATGACTTAAAATGAAAATCCTCAGGCCCTTCTTATCTATGAAAGTTCCTTAGTCTTCCCTATCATTTCATGACATTGATTTTTTGAAGAGTGCTGGTTGAGTATTTTGTAGAATGATTCTCTATTTGCGTTTATCAGAGTTGTGCGCCCCAACCCCCAATTCAGATGTTGAAGACCTAACTTTCACACCTTAGGATATGACTGTATTTGAAGACAGAACATATGAAGAGGTAATTAGGTAAAATGCAGTGTTTAGAGAGGACCTTAATCCAATACGACTGATGTTTTTCTAAGAAGAGTTCAGGACATAGACACACACCATAGGGATGCTGACGTGAGAACAGAGAGAGTAGACAGCCATCTACAGCGAAGGAGAGGGGTCTCAGAAGAAACCAGCCCTGCTCACTGGTTCTTGGCATAAATCAGTCTATGGCATTGGTTCCAGCAGTCCTAGCAAATTAATATACTAAAGTTTTATTTATTTATTATTATTAATTTTTTTTTTACAATTAGCTTAATTATGTGGATTTGGGGGAAGAATATCACAGAGGTGATGTGTCCTTCTCCTTGCAACATATTAACCTTCACCACATGGTCAGGGTGGAGACTTCCAGATTTGTCCACTGAAAAGTTACTATTTTCCTTTTTCCATTTTCTACAGTCAAAAGCAAGTTATAATTCAGCCCACACGTAAGAGAAATAAGCTCCACCTCCCAGAAGGAGAAGTATCAGAAGGAGAAGTATCAGCTAACTTGAGGACATGTGCTAGAACCACAGCAATTAATAAACGTGTCAGAAGAGATACTTTAGAAGATGCAAATACCCTTTTCTCCTTCAAATTCCTTCCACTAATTTTTGCATTCATCAGGGAATCTTGTCTGCAGTAATTATTACTGTGATGACTCAACGGTGACTTCGTATTTCCCTCATTTTTTTTTTTTTGATGTTTATTAATTGGGATTTCTCTTTGAGGACTATTTCTCTCTTCTCCTTTATTTATTATTGTAATCATTTAGTATATCAGAATAGATTTTTGGATATTACTTTTATTCTTGGGTAATAATGCAATACAACGGTTATTTATCTTGCTGTTCAACTTGTTCCATCTTTGGCCATTTGGAAAACTTTTAGGTTAGCTCCTGAACCATTCAAACATTTTCCCCTTCCCCCCACTCACATTTTACTCTAGTCTCAGCTTCTATTTATTCTTGACTCAGCCCTGGAAGCAGCCATTTTTTTTTCAAGGACTCTTGATTCTTTTTATTGGAGAATGGTATTTAGAAAACAAGATCTGAGTGTTAAGTGTGCTTGCTGCTATTGGGTGTCAGTGATTCCATACCTTCTCAATGTACATCATGACACAGACACAGGCAGATGGAGAGATACACACACACTTACGCACATATGCACACACACACACGTGTAATTATCTCTGCATCTGTCCATTTGTATGCATATAAATATAAACCTAAACATGAGTTCACACTGAGGTCTCCAAGCACAAACCACCAAGGAGATTTAACTTTCCAATTTGGAACAATTCGATTTTGCTAGCAGTTTTTCTTTGAAATAAGACATGTGCACACCTAGCATATGAGTGTAGAGCGAGCAAATTAAATTATATTTTCATTTATCCAAGAGTTTGTTGGAACACGGGCCAATGCAGTTTGGGAGCTATGTACATTGAGTATAGACGGATTTATAGTTCTTGGATTCCTCAAGTAACTTGCTCAATGCTGCCTTTTATTGGTGGAGAATTCACCACCCTAGTAACACCTATAAAAACCCATTTGCTCTTGAGATTGACGCTAGTTAATCTGAGGGTTCCCCTCTTGTCTTTCCTTCCTGACCCCGTGTTTAGTAAATGCTAAAAGTGCATACAAATGTATGCAAATAAATCTTATTTGGGGAGAAATCAGTTGTATGGGTCTCTGGTGCCCGACCGCTTATGGAATCCACTAACAGTCTGGTGAATGTTTTGTATTATACCGTCCTTGGAGACTGTACGCATGACTTACTTTGTATATAGTTATTCTGAGAAGAACGAGCACACTTCTCTGTTTAACGCTAGTGGTCAGAGAGCAGAGGAGACTGTGACTGTATATCTTCAGGAGGGCTGGGAGTCTGGAGTCACAGGGCTGTTTAACATGAGGTGCATGGGACCTGGAGGTGGGGAATGCGGATTTTGTCTTCCACCTTAACTCTCTGTGTGCTGAATGTGAGCTGCCATACCCTCTCAGAGCTTCTGCTTGCTCCCCTCTACAGTGAATGGTTTGCCACACAGGTCCCTCGGGCATGCGGGTCTCTACAGTCCCAGGGTTCAGTGGATGCCAAGGAAGGAGCGGAGTCTGCCTATGCCCCGCTCCTGGCTCAGCTCCTTCAGCTTTGCTCACACCGGGACGATTTGACTTTTCAGTTCTGTCATTACAAAGACCATGCAGATGATGGATTTCGCTTGTTCGCCTGCTGTGTTGAAAAAAGAGATCCATGCGATGAGGTCGTCCCTCAGTTTCCGGATTCTGCCTTATTCTGGGTACTTTAAACATTGTCAGAAACCACTTAGGGGACTTTCACTCAGATGCCTCCTCTGTGGGAGTAAATATTTGTCAAATGCCACCTTTCCCTCCTTTTGCCTCACAGGAACAGGGGTGCTATCAGTTTGCTGGTTCTCTTTGTGGGCGTCATTCTTGTCCAATTGCTCTGTAACATCTGACATTTCTCTCCTTCCCTCTCTGTCTGCCGCTCTTTTATAAAGGATTGAGTTGTGTTTTATCCTCTATCTAATCCTTTCAAAATACTGTGTACCTTTCTAAATGATGGCAACCCCCTGACAAGGCAAGGGAGATGAGAAAGCTGGGAACCACATCAGAAGGGTCTGCTAAATCTGTTGTGACAACAGGGAAGGATGCTAGGACTTGCTTCTTCTCGGTCTGAAAGCACCTTTGTTATGTTTCTGAGGAGAGGAACAGAGGGCGGGGGGCCTGGTGGTGTTTCGTGTCCCTCTGCCTGTCAATCTCATCGGCATTGAAGGAAAAATAAAAGATGAAGGGAAAATAGGAGCACCGTCTAAACGAACGACATAAATAAAGGAAGCATGTGCATAGCGTAAGTACCACTGGGCGCTCTCTGCCGCACGCAGAGACCATTCCAGCCTGAGAGATGACCAGAGAGATGCCTGCAGGGAGGTAGCAAGCTCACCAACACTGGGTTCCTGGCTTCCATCTTGGCTGGAGAGTTCTTCTCGTACTGAATGTATTTTAAAGAAAAGATGTACTCAGGGATATTTTTTCCCTTGCTTGCTTGGTAAGGTGCTCATTTGCATCAGGTTGTCAAGAGTTATGACATTTAATGTTATTAATGTCACTTCCATTATTCCGCTGAATCTCAGCTGCCTTCACCTACAAAATGTAAATGTTTCTGACTACATGACCATAACTAGAGACCCCAAGGAACGGGAAAAAGAAACACAGGTCTCCGTGCTGTGCGTAGGCCAACGGGCTGGCTCCAGTGTCATTCATGGCCACGGATTTGGAAATATATCCATTCAGTGTCAGAAGTATGACACACTCATTCATGTGTGCAAACGAACACACGCACACACACACACACATACACCCACACGCATACACACATAGTTGTTTTTGTTCTAGAAATCCAGTGCAATTCAATGAACACTCAGAGCCAACCCTTTTAGAAGCAAATTGTGTCAGAACTGTAAAAAGGTAGAATGTACTTCGATTAATAAATAGTGGGGCAAAGAGGATCAGGCATCGGAAGAGAAGGAGGGAAGATCTTGGAGGCAGAAGGACCTGTAATTTCTAGAGGTTAATGCAGTGAGAAGTATTGAATTATTAAACACTAAAATGACAATTATATGATCCATAGAACAAAATGCGTTTATTGACATAGAATAATTTGGTGATACAATCAAATCTTTAAAAAAGGATGGTTTACTCTAATTTGGGAAATATAAGTGATAACTTTTGATATCATCATTTTTCATATTTGAATCATCTCAATTTTCAGACAAGCCCCAAAATAAGATTCAGGTAATACTGAGTCTTTTATAGTTGTACTTAATTAGACATAAAAAAATAATTAGACCTGAATTCAGTCTGGACCAAAAATACTTTTTAAATGTAATTTTTCTTTTATGATGAAA